ACCTCGAGCTGCTCTCGTGCTTTCCTCATTGTAACGAGGTTAGAGATCATGCACTTGAGCATTAGCAGTATGTATGGTTTGTATGTTTGTGATTCGGTGTTCAACACTTCTAGAATTGTTCTTAATACCGAAATTTAAAAATATTTAAAGAATGCTTTTAGGATTTTATTTTAATGATGGAAAACCCACTTATATAAGTGGCAAGGCATTTTCACGTTAGCTCAGCATTTTGAAGTATACAGATTCTTAAAAATGGAGGGAAAAAAAAAATGTCTGGAGAAGTGAGAGCTGCAAGTACAGGAAAGCAATTTATACCCGAACAGTAAATAGAAAATATGACTGTCAAGGCCTGGTACAGAAAGGGACCAGGTAGCAGAGGTTTTGTGCGTTGAATTATGTAGGTACAATAGAGATAAATGGAGAGATTATGTGAATGTCAGGTGCTATTTAAGTGAGTTACTCTTTTTAAAAAGCAGACTGTCAATACTAAGCTATATTTTTAAATGAAGTAATGTTCAGTGGGGTTGAATTACATTGAAGGATGTGTGCTTGCTTGATCTTTTTTGAGAGGTTGGTATATGAAGTCCTGACACACCGTGTGCATCCAGAGCTGTAATCTCTCATTAACATTAAGATTATCCAGAGCTCTGGTGAATCAGGACTCTCACAGGTAGCTTCCTGTTCTCTCGTGGCTGAAGTTCAGGTGTGACTGTCTAGGGCTTCCCACATAACCTGGTATCTGAATAAATTCCACAGACAGGTAATAAACATTCAGCCTCAGTGCTAGTCATCTTCTGTAGCCTCAGTTTCCCCTTTGCCTGGCGCCATAGCTACTAAAGATGTCATTTTTAAACACCCTCCACGCAGACATATACATTAGAGTAGTTACCGCTTGCACATTAGCTGGCCTCCTTCCTCAGCGCTGAAGGAAATGGGGGCTATGAAAGGTGCAGTATGAGTGCTCTAGAGTCTGCAATAGGAAGCCATGACCAGCAAGCCAGAATCTTAGGATGTGGGTGGACTGGAATTGAAAACTATGATGGCATTGGTGGGCTAGCTATTCACCAGTGCTGGTTTGCAAAGCACTGCACTTCGGTGTTCATGCTGCTTTCTGACTACCAATTTAAAAGAGAGAAGGTTGTGCCTGTGCAATATATGCCTTTTCTGTTCTGTTTTTCGGGAACTTGGTAATTATTTCTCCTTGTTTTGATCTTCGTTGACACTGTCTTTGAGACAGCTGAAAAAAATGGGTTATATCTGAAACTATTACCTAAGACTCGTCTGTGCTCTCAAGTCTGTTGTGGGTCTTGATCACAGGGAAGGAAACAGGTACAATAAAGAAGGAGCAAGCACTTGTCTGAATGAGTCCTGCTAACCAGAAGTGCTGCACTATCTACCATGATACCTTTACATTTTCTTCACAGTGGAATAAAAACATCTGAATTAGTTCAGTTTTATGTGAAATTAATGTATTAAGAAGAAATGCTTGGTATCTTTTTGAATTAACATTATCAAAGTAGCACCATATCTTATTCAATTTGAGAATTTGCCCTCTTGCTAGAATATTACAGTACCTGTAAAAACTTTGTGTATAAGTGCAAGCAATGTGGGAGACCTGGTGAGTGAATTTCCTTGAGGAAAGGCACAAAAATATGATGGACTATGTATTGTTAAATCTAATAGCTGGGTACACCTGCAAAGGCGCGAGCTCCTTAAGCCACTCGGTTGCAGTGAGTTATGTACAGTAGCTGTGTGGGTAGGCTGGCTTTCCATGAGGCTTAGGGTGAAACGTGTTGCTCCAAAGCAGTCGGTGAGGCCAGTTCTTAGGAATTCACCTTGAGAAACCTACAGTGTTTCTTCCTTAATAAGGCCTTTCACCTAATGTTTATGCTCCATCACGACTGCAGGGTTAAAGCTGAAGATTTTTACTTAATTGCCACCTGAGAATACATCAGTAAATGGCTGTTTGGACAGTTCATGTAGGCATGTGTCTGCCCCACTCGTAGATCCAGCTGCTGAGAACGTGAAGGCTTCGTTAGAAACTGGTTTTGTTAAAATGTACTTGGCGACACCAAACAAATATCCTGTTGCTGTGTTAAATACTGGAATTAACTATGAGACCTGCTAGCATAGCATGGCCAAGTGATACTTGCTCAGAATTTTGAGAACAATAATGAAAAATGTGAAAAGATGGCAAAAATAATCACATAGATTCTGCCATAGTTAGTATCTCTTTAGGAAATTGCAGAGAGAGTATTTAACCATCCAGAGAAGGTAATATTTGGGGACTTAAAACATTTAAAGAGCTCTTCACTCTTGCTTAAGTAAGAATGCTTCAGGAGGATTAAGATACGCTTGATTTCTTCTTTTGTTGTTGTTCTTTGTTTTCTTTTCCTTAGCCTGGATTCCCTCTAAAGATATGAGGGGAAAGTGTAAGTTAGAAGTGTTCATTTTCAAATGAAAAACTTAACAAACTCTAAGGCAATTCGGCCTGCTGAGAGGATTACTGACTTGCTGTGTGAGGCTCCCCGCCTTACACTTGAACACACGTTTTTGTGAATTGCTGTTGAGTGTCATGGGGGGATGTTGACCTGTTGTAGAGCCTGTGATGGGCCTTCCTGAACACATGCTTGCTGCAGCAAACCCCTCTGTTAGGTGTCAGTTACAGATTAAAAATAAGCTAGCACTTTGCAAAGACAAGGATGATGTGTGTATTTTGTTTCTCCTGCTAAAGCATATGCTTGAGCTCACAATATTTGGCTGTTTTGGAGCCATTTGGGAGATTACCATGAGCTCTGTACCATTATCTTCTCTCTATCAGCTCTGATGAAAATGAGGCCAGCTGAAAATGGGGGCAGATTTAATTACTTTTTCTGGAAAAAAGTGCAATACCTGTTCTGATCTCCTGGTAGGAGTATGGCAGGATAAGGGGTAGAAGGGTAAAATTAACTCTTAAACTGCTTTAGTGTGTTTTCATGAAGACAAAATGAGTAAAGTACCTAAGATGTGGTTGTTTTCCAAGCTTGTTGATTACAGCTCCACCTGTAAGAAAGATAATAAAAATTAAAGTATCAGACCAAAATAAAGAGTAAAAAAAGTTTATATCAACACCTGATTGCATGATTTAGTGTTTTATACTGCCCCACTACTTATATGCAGAGCTACAAGTGCTTGCAGTATGGATGCAGAGGGGTTTGCAAAATTTCGTGTTCCACAAGGAAATATGTGAGCTAATATAGCTAGTTGGTTTTACAATTAAAAAAGCCTAATGAGCTTAATTAAAACAACGTAGCTTTTGTGCAGAAGCATAGCCTAAAAAAAAAAAAGTTGAATTTTAAAGCTCAAAGATTTAACTTAAAATTAATTTCAAAAATAAAAGAACTTCATCTTATGTTTATATTTTTCCGTTTTTTTTTTTTTTTTTTAAACAGGTCAATCAGGGGTGGCGTTTCCAGAATATATTTGTTTTTTCTTAGAAATAGAAGCTAGATGTGTTGAAACCTGGCCAAGTAATTCTGGTAAGAATCTTCCTGTTATCGTTACACTTGTGCATGTAAAAATAATGAACTTATTCCCTTACCCCAGCTTACAATGTTTTATCTATTGCACAGTGCCAAACATCTTGCTCTTATTTCTAGTTTGAATTTTGATCTTTCTGCACCGAAGATTACTTGAAGGCAGAATGTTGCTCCTTGAGAGGGATGTTCTGTTATGTTTGTGTATGTTGTACTTCTGTGTTTGAAATTGCTGAAGAACAAATAGACATGTTTTGCATTATGTGCCTATATTTACCCAAACTTTTTAAACCTTTCTAGCTTTCTCGTTTGCAAATACATGAAGAATACTTTTGATCTGGTGATTATGTGTGAATGTTTTCCCATCCAGCAGTATTATTCCACCTACTTTTTTAAATGAACTGTAACACATTTGGCTCTCTCCTCTCTTAGGTTTTCAAGATTTTTCTTAAGGTGTTCATACAGGGGGAAAAACAAGTAGCTAAATAGTGCTGTATTCCTTTAAGGGGTTTTATGTATATGAAATCTTGGTCCTATAGTTGCTATCACTGATTCTTGCCTGTGTTATTTTGCCTTGCTTGGTGATCCACTGTTGACTGTTTCCTACAGCTGATTCTTGTATTTTGTTTCTTGCTTGTTTTAAGCTTTTCAGCATGTATTGTTGCTGACCAACACAAGAATGCTACTGTAGTGGCACATGAGAAAATAAGTGTTTTATGAGATGCAATGAACAGTCAAAATGTATGAGTGCCTTGTGTGCATTATTTATAATCAAATTAGTCAGTTTGGAAAAATGTACCAGTGATTTTCTCCTGAATGTGTACAGTAGAATCATATCTTGAATTAAATACATAGCAGTAATGACTGCCACCCATTCAATTAATCTTGCTTGAAAGAAACACCGAGGGTTAGTAAATCTAAAGCAATGCATCTCTGAAACTCCCATGTTTACCTTAACTCGTTATTTTTTCTTTTTCCCTTGAAGGAATTCCCTGTTGGAATATATAACAGTGTAGAAGATAATATGCTCAAATGAAGAATGAGGAACATGTTTTCTGTACAATGCTGTGTAATAGCTACCTGTTTCCTCCATATGCTTCAAGTCAAATTCCTTTTAGAAGCAGCTGAAGACTGAAGCTCACATGTAGGTTACAAGGAAAAGCTGGAATTAAGTCATACAATTTAGGCAGTAGGAAGGAACACTGTCACGTGTTTTCACCTGACAGGCTTATAAAGTTGGTTTTTGAGATCACCAACTATTAGCTAAAGTCTCACCAAGGACAGTGAAATCCCCAAACCTTGACCTTCCTTCTCCTCTTGATCCCACTCCACACTGGAATATTCATCCTTTAGGCCTACAAACTTGATGCTTTGGAGGAGAAGGGGAAGAAGCACTTGCCCTTCCTGTCCTCAGGCTTCAAGTATTTTTCATAAGGAAGATATTTTCTGATGGGTTTCAATTTTGTGTTCTCCTTCCTCGTTTAGCTCAGACATGAGCAGTCGCAGTAACTCGCTGGCACGGGAGTTCTTGACGGACGTCAACAGGCTGTGCAATGCTGTGGTCCAGAGGGCAGAGGCCAAGGAAGATGAAGAGGAAGAAACGCACATGGCAGCACTGGGGCAATACCTGGTTCAAGGCCGTGGATTTATTTTGCTTACCACACTGAACTCTATTATTGATCAGGTAATAGGTTTTATCACTGATGGCTAATTTTTGTATTGAGCTTTGATCTATTAAAGGTATTTGTCTGGCTTGCATGCTTCTTGGTGCTTCTTGTCTTGTTTGTATTTTTGGGGGGAGACTGAGAAGTCTAATTGTCAATAATAGAAATTTAGAAGAACTTCCTTCACCAAGAACAGGAAACAAAACATGGCTAATTATATCTGTTTGCCAGGTGAAATTTATGGCTGCTAAACTGTTGACTTAAGCCACGTGGGAGGCTTTGGTGCAGCAGCTGGGTGGAAAAAAGAAGTGTTTGCTGAACCTGCAGTGTAAACTGGCAGCCTTTACTTTGAAAAGACCCTTCTGATTGATAGTATTTAAATTAAATTAAAGTATGCCCCTTCCTATTTTGCTATAGGCTGTGAGGTGTATTTTCACTGTGTATCAATTAGCAGTTCTTGAACATGAGAGCAATTTTTTTTTTGACCTCAGCTCCTGAAAGTACCTTTCAAGTAAGGTGCAGTCAGTCTGTCTGTATTACTGAGTGTCTTTAACTGTTTAAAAGACAAGTGGAAAAAAATCTTGATGAATGAAAATTATTCCAAAAAGGGGATAGATCCTGTATGGGCCTATACACCCCTCTAAGTGCCCGCTAAGGATAGCTTGTGGCCAGCATACTGGCACACGGTTCTTTGTAGCATCTTGGTATTTCTCCTTGTTACATGTTCCTCTTACCCCATCCATCTGGCTTGCCCTCTGCTGAAATGGAAAACTGCTACACTGCTCTCCCCAGTTGTTACGTTGGTTACGTTGCTTATTCCCATTTCTAATCATTTTCTGTCTTGCTGAGAAGGTCTTCGGTAGCAAAAGTGAGTTGTGGGAAATGACTCTGAAAAGTTACTTCCCGGGTCTAATTGTATTGTATCAATAACTGAAACTGTTTTTATAACTCTGAAATTATGTTGATAATGTATAGTGCAACATTTTACGTTTTCTAGATGTTTCCTGTGTAGTAATAGATCTGTAATTGTGATTAATACTATATTTAGTGCTTCTTGCATGTTATGTTTTCTTTTTGACTGATTGAAGCAGCTGGAAAATTAGTAGATAAGCCCTTCTGAAGAAGTTATAAAAAGGTAGGTGATGTAGCTTTCAGCAAAACTGTTTTATGTAGATAAATGTAAATCTGAGGACAATTTGTTCTTGCCTGTTGTGGTGTGAATGGATGACTGCTGTCTGACTTTGCCTATTTGGCTCTATCCTGTAATGAAAATGTAATGTTAAAAGTGATTTCCAGATACTTTCAGTCCTTTCCTAACCACCTTCGGTGACAGAATTATGGCAAGAAAAGATTCTTAAATTGGCTAAATAAAACTGCTTTATTTCTTTAAAACAACAAGAAAGGGCAGTGGAGACCTGGAAAAGCTGATCTCATAATCAAAGGAGCCGTTAATCTGTCATGAGGAAATGGAGAGCCATCATGTGTTCCTTCTTGTTCAACCTTTAGAACTGGTGGACTTGAACTTGGTGTATTTGTCTTAGTCCAGATGTTGAAAGGGAAATGCAAACTCTTATCTTCTGTGAGATATTAGTTGATTTATCAGTGTTGAAGTGATCATTGAACCAAGCTAAGTGAATAAACCATCATGAAGAAATTTTTATCTGTGTATGCTGCTTTACCATCCCTAATCACGGTTTTACTGACGCTGCTAGTTCCATGTTTTAACAACTTTTTAAAAGATTTTAGCAGGAAAACTGTTATAATACCTCTATTTTTTAAATAAAATAAATCTCTAAGTTACGGTACTAACGTAGTTGGTGAAATGAATATTAGGCTTTTCACCTTTATCCAACCTCTTCAGTTTCAAATGTACTTTACAAACTCTGGTCTTATCTTTGTGGATACAGGTGTATGCAAACACTTAAAGGCACTCTTGTATTCAGTTCCAATTAAAAGCAGGCTGAGCAACCTTCTTACCAAAATGATCTAGCTTATTCAGGTTTATATTCACTTATCTTTTTTTCATTACTTGGATTTTGGGGGAAAGACTCAGCTGCATAGCCCTGAATGATGCTAACTATCAAAAAGCTCAAACCAGCTTTCTGTCTGTGCCAAACTTAGGGGTTTTATTTTATTTTTTTGGGATGTTCAAGTCTACAGTAGTGCTTAGTGTCCAATAAAAGAATCATATTTGAATTTTCTGCCTTCTACTGTTTGCGTTTGCCCTAAGGTTCTGAGCTCTATTTTGATCCTCAGTAAGACTGAGAAGTTTTAATGTTTTTGAGGAATTTCCCCACTTTCTCTAAAACTTCTCCTTCACATTGTGAGATGCTGCTTATATAAATGAATGTAGACTTTCATTTGTTTAAAGGCATCACGGAAGGCTTTACAACATTCTTGAAAATTATATGCTTTTGTAACCATAGACACTTCAAACTTTTCTTGGGCTTCATTCTGTCTTTATTTAAATGAAGAGAAGTTATTTGCTTTTGACTTTTTGAGGTTTTGTCCTCCTGTAGGTGAAGTATTACTTAAACAAGGTTTGAAGAATCGTGTACAGAAACAGTTGCAAAGGTGTGATTAAATATTCCAGATGTTATCTGATTGATTCAAAATAATGATTATAACATTCTTTGCAGTTAGGTCACTTGTCCAGTGCGTAAGACAGCAGAATGACACAGGGAACTTATAATAAGAACAACAACTTATAGAAAAAGATCAGAGTAATGTTTAAATTATGAGTCATGGAATATAAAGCTCCTTCCTTCCTAACATAGGAGCTGACATGTCGGGAAGAACTTCTCACTCTCCTCCTGTCACTTCTACCACTGGTGTGGAAAATCCCCGTCAAAGAAGAAAAAGCAATAGGTAAGCTTCATCTGTTTTGCCACTTGAAAAGTTGGGGAAAATGGTGCATTGTATCTGTGTCATTACAGAGCATAGGAGTATCAGATAAAGAGTAGAAAACCATTGTACTACATGTCCTCTTTATCTAGAATATAGGCACTTAATTCTTAAATAAATACAGCTTTAAAAATCCCTGTGTTCTGTCATTATACAAGGAAAGTCAAGACTACAGAAAAGACAAAGGCCCATGGTCAGTATGAAGGAGAATGGTTACAACATACCATGTAACTGGAATTGGTGGTGGAGAGGTTTTATTTGGCTTTGCAGGTGATACAGGAAAAGTGGATTTGAAAGAGTATATGATACTTTCACTAATGTGAAGCTGTTCATGGTGTGGGAGAGAGCACAAAAGTTCTTAAAAACCAGTGTAATACATGTTAGCATTGTAGATTGATCAGCCATAGAGTAAGAAAAACAGTTTTCTGAAGTTGGAGAAGTGCTAAGTAGAGAATAGGCTTAAGTCAAACAGCAGAGAATGTAAAGAGTATGAAAAGAATGGTGATATCAAGGCAGTAGACTCTGAAAATGGACTACTGCTGGATGGTTATGAACAATCAGGCTGTTCAGACCCTCTACATGAGGATTTAAATGACGGGTCAAATGCCCACTGGACCTGTTTAGAGAAATGAAAGAGGTAATGCAGAATGAAGGTATGAAAGATGATTTAAAAAAAAAAAAGAAAAAGTTGTGCAAGAACTGAAACAGCAAATATGTGTTTTCTAGTCTTGTCTTTTATTAGAGGATAACATAAGCTGAAACAAATCCAGAGGCTGAAACTGTCAAAGCTCTTAAATATCAACTGAAGTTGTCTGAGTGGTCTTTGTTTTCAAAGTGCTTCAAGTGTAAGGTGCTGTTACCGTTTACAGATGGACAGTATTCCACTGTGTGAATTTCATAGTCCTTTAATGCAGTTAATGGCCCTGCTTTCTCAGCTGCATCTCTTTTTCATTCTACTGTAAGCATGATTGAATGAAAAACACTTCAGTCAACTTATGGTATATTGACCCTTCCAGAATTAATTTTAAATGATATTGTGTAAACAGGTAGAGATGTTTGATTTTTGTACTTTAACATGCATATTTTGTTACCTCAGATTACTAGCTAGTGATACTCATGCAATAATACCAATATATCCAGTTGTGCACCAAGAGTTCTGTTCTTTTGGACTGATTTATTTTATTCATACTCCTGCACCTGGTAGTTTTTTTTCTGTGCAAGGAATATCCTTATTTTGTTAAGTACTTTTGGTTCCTTTTCTCCTCCAAAGCAGATGCTTTCTTCAAGCATCATAGCCATGTCTCTGTGCTACAGTGAAAGTAATGCTTGCACATGAAGCCCCTCTTTCAGTATAATTAATGGTTGTATCTATGGGAATGTGCTGTCCTGATTTTGCTCGTTTGCGGGACTGTTAAATATCATATTTTCTAAATACTTGCAGTTGATATATGCTAGATTCTTACATTGCTCAGAGCACCCAGATACAGTTCCGACACTGAAAATGACAATGAAATTCATTCGAGAATAAATAACCTTTTTATTTCAAATACTTAAATGGAAAAATACTCAAATAGGAAAAAAGACTTATATATTATAATGCTCCTAAATGATTTATGTGTCTTTCTGTTGCAACAGATTTTAATCTACCCTTTACAGTTGATATATGCCTGACCAAAGAGAACACTTCAAGTTCTGTGAAATCTACTCACGATAAGTTAGAATTAGATGGAAAGAGTTGCTCTCCTCTTCAGGCTTCCGTAAAGCTAAATCCTCGATCTCGAAAAAGCGGGCGTCTTCGCAAGACCACCCATCGTTACTCTGTGCGAGATGCCAGAAGGTCTCAGCTGTCCACTTCGGATTCAGAAGGCAATTCGGATGACAAGGCCACGGTCATGATGAAACACAGACGGGCCCAGTTCCTGCAGCCTTTTGTAACACGTCCTCCTAGGGACAACTGCCTTGTAGGGAGAAGTGACTGCCTACCAGCTGAAGCAGTATCAAATTCTAATCCTGATACCTCTAACCCAGAAAATTCCAGCCAAATTCCAGCACAGGAATTAAAACTGGAGATTTTGGATGAGTCAGCTGCGGTGATTGTTGAGAACAACATGGACAACTCTCCATTTGACTTATGCCGTGTATTACTGTCACTCCTGGAAAAAGTGTGCAAATTTGATGTGGCTTTGAATCACAGTTCTGTTCTTACAGCTAGTGTGATACCCACCTTAACTGAGTTCTTATCAGGATTTGGAGACTCTTGCACTGTGGGTAGCAGTGCAGAAAATGAAGTAGTTTCTGCAGGGTGGACAGAAGAACCTGTGGCTTTGATCCAAAGGATGCTCTTTAGAACAGTGCTTCATCTTTTGTCTTTAGATATTAGCAATACAGAAACAATGCCTGACAACTTACGAAGAAATCTAACAGATTTACTTAAAGCAGCATTAAAAATCAGAATTTGCTTGGAAAAACAACCTGATTTTTTTGTTCCAGGGCACAAAAAAACGCTACAGCAGCAGGTGTGGGATGACTTAGTATTTTCTAGCTATCGTCACAGAGCCTTGCTTCTGCCTGAGATACTGGAGGGTGTCTTGCAGATTTTGATCTGCTGCCTACAGAGTGCAGCCTCCAACCCATTCTACTTTAGTCAAGCTATAGATCTGGTTCATGAGTTCATACAGCACCAAGGATTTAAGCTATTTGAAGTAACAGTGCTTCAAATGGAATGGCTATGTATGAAGAATGAGGGAGTAACTGGGGAAGCCTCCGAGCACTTGAAAGCCCTAATCAACAACATCATGAAAATCATCAGCACTGTCAAAAAAGTGAAGTCAGAGCAGCTTCATCAATCCATGTGTACAAGAAAGCGGCACAGGCGATGTGAGTACTCTCACTTCATGCACCACCACAGAGATCTTTCCGGGCTTTCTGTATCTGCTTTTAAAAACCAAGCTTCCAAAAGCCCCTTTGAAACAGCTGAGGGAGAAGTTCACTATCCTGACCGCTGCTGTTGCATTGCTGTTTGTGCGCACCAGTGTCTGCACTTGTTGCAGCAAGTCTCTTTGAGCAGTACCTGTGTGCAGATTCTCTCGGGGGTACACAACGTAGGAATATGCTGTTGTATGGACCCAAAGTCTGTGATTATCCCATTGCTTCATGCTTCCAAGTTACCAATATTAAAAAACTTCCAGCAGCACATATTGAGCGTCCTTAACAAGTTTATATTGGATCAGCTGGGTGGAGCTGATGTTTCTCCAAAAATTATACAGGCGTCATGCAATATATGTACTATTGACTGTGATCAACTTGCTCTGCTGGAAGGTGCCTTGCAAGGCAACGCTGGTGACGTTGGTCTTGCCTCTAGTCCCTCTTGCAGAGTTCAGGGGATTCTGCCTAGTAGTGGATCTGAAGATATGCTCTTGAGATGGGATGCGCTGGAGGCTTATCAGGACCTTGCTTTTGAAGAAGACAAACTACGTGGCATGCAGATTGCAAGCCATATATGCCACTTGATGCAAAAGGGAAATGCAGTGGTCCAGTGGAAACTCTATAACTGTATTTATAATCCAGTGCTCCAGAGAGGTGTTGAGCTAGCTTGCTATGCTCAACAAGTGGGAATAACTACAGCTGCTAAACATGTGTGTGGTTACCACAGCCAGGGTTTGCCTTATGAAGTACTTCAGATTTATTTGCAGACACTCCCCGTGTTGCTTAAATCCAGGTTAGTGAGTGTTATTTCTGCTTATTAATAGAGTATATGCTAATGATATAACCTAGAACACTGTATATGTTACTGATTACCACATAGATTTTGTTTTCATTGTATGCTGCACTTAAATTGCAGGGGTGTGAACAAGATACATGCTTGGATAACGTAGGATTCAGTCCACAGGATTCGGATTTGCCATTAGGGGTCCGTGTTGATGGCATACCAGCTTCAAGAAGTCAGTGTGTAGGAACGAATGCAGGCTTGGTCTAATGTGACACCCTCTTTGCCTCTTAATTCCTCATGCTAAAGTGACTCAGGAATGTTGAACAGATTCACATGTTACTTTTCTGTGAGAATTAAACTACTTTATCTGGTCTGTTTCTTTTTTCCTGCTAAAGTACTATTCCGTAGAAACTTAATATGAAAAATAAATTACACTTATTTGTAGTCCTGATGTAACTGTTTCTTAATTTACAAAGTCCTTCTCATATAAGCATAATTTTAAAAGCAAAACCAAACCAAAAGGCACATTCTTTTCTATTTATTGAAAAACTATTTCTATTATTGAAATTGACAAAATAGTTCTTTAGTAAAATTGCTGGAAGTTTTTGATTGTTTTTTTCTTTTGGAATATGAATAAGAATGTATTTTCTCCCCAGAAAAACTGTTGTTTTCATTTGTGAATCCTGAAAAACTGAAGCGAATTAGGGCTACTTGAAACAAAAATGAAGAATAGGCTAATATCCCAATTTTTGTAAAGAATTATCTCGTGTTTTTAGCTTGCCTAAACTGTATCAGAGGCATCGACTTTTGATGGAGTGGAAACACCTCAGTAGTAAAGATATAAGTAGTAAAGTTGAGATTCAAAGAAGTTTACAGTTATCTATTTACTACTGATGTAAAGATAGAAATACACAAGTCAGTACATGATTCTTTTTTGTTGTTGTTAAGAGTATATGACTCAATTATAGTAGAAGCTGACTCTGTGGGAAAGTAATGGCAGGGTAGAAGAGATGAATCTCTGTGAGCAAACATGATACTCTAAGAAGCAGCTTAAAGAAATTGTGATAAGCATCTCTAACAACTAAATAGAATGGATGGGGAGTAGAAAGAAGGGAAAACCATTCTTGAAAACAGATATACCAAAGGGTGCTCACTTAACATTGCAGTTTCTATGCTAAAAAGCCTGCAAAAACATGTGCTTGAAGGGTATTTCATATAAAATTGCAGAGATTTTGTGTTCCTGCAAATACTAGTAAAATATGCTAGTAAAATAGGCAGAGCTAGTAAAATATGCTAAGGCTTCAATTTTATTTGAGGAGGAATCTACTTTCTGAAGTTGTAGAAGAGAGAATATTTAAGATCTCCAATTCCTAATAAAAGTTAGGGGGAAGGTACCATTAAAGAATAAGTATCATAGAATTAATTAAATACATTCTGTGCTTTGACTATCTTGTGGGGTGTTTTTTTTTTGTATTTTAGAAGTTAATCGATATTCATCTCTTTATTTTTATAACTAGAAAGCTTATGACTTCTCTGTTACCATGTGGACAATATTTACTTGGTATTCTAGAAAGTCGCAGACAAATTCTCCTTTATCTTATCTCGCATTCCTGAGAATAGCAGGAGAATTACAACAATCACTATAAACTTAGTCTGTCTTTTCCTTTGTGCAAGTTGTGTGTAGAGCATTATTTTTGGTTAAGATGACTCCTCTAAAATACATGCATTTATGGTTAGTTGCTTTCTCTTGCAGGGTAATTAGAGACTCATTTTTGAGCTGTAATGGAGTAAACCAAATGATTGAATTAAATTACTTGGACACTGTAAGGAGCCATTCTCTGAAAGTATTAGAGACTTTGATCCTCTGCCTTGGAGACCAGCAGAAAGACCAAGCAGTGGCAGAACTAGAAGCCTTGACCAGTGACCAGAAGGAGGCTGCCTCTGACTTGCCTGCTTCTCTTTGCAGCCAACACACCATCTCAGAAGTTCCTCAAAGCCTCAGCAAGTTTTATGCTGGCCTCAAAGAGGCTTACCCGAAAAAGAAAAAGTTTGTGAGTCAAGACGCTCATGTCAACACAATAAACCTGTTCCTCTGTGTTGCTTTTTTGTGTGTAAGTAAAGAAGGAGACTGTGATCGGGATTCAGCTAATGACTCTGAAGACACTTCAGGATACGATAGCACAGCCAGTGAGCCACTAGGCCACAAGTTACCCTATGTGTCACTGGAAAGCCTTGCTTTGCCTTCCCTAGAATGTATTCACAGGGCTGCAGATATTTGGTCCATGTGTCGTTGGATCTATTTGTGTAGTCCAGTTTTCCAGAGACAGTTTCACAGACTTGGAGGGTTTGATGCATGCCACAGGTTACTAATCCTCATTATTCAGAAACTTGCTAAGAGCAAGGAAAAGGAGCAAGAAAAAAAGGAGAGGGTATTGAATCAAAGCAACAAAAGTTTGCATGGGAGCCCTCGTGCTGAACCTCTCACCAAGGATGACTCTGCTCAGTTGGCTGAAAACGGAGAGTTGGCACAATCAGAATATGACAGTTTTGATAAAAATACTGCTGATGCAGAACAGCTGGTGTCAGAATGTGTTTCCTGTGACAGCTCTTTGAGTAGGGAAGGCACTTCAGTTACTCCCGTTGCTAATCTTGAAGAGATGAAGCCTTCTGTGAGAGAAGAGGTTGAGTGGGCACTTCAGGGAATCAGACTCCTTGAAGCTCTGCTGACAATCTGTCTGCACAGTGTGAGCAGTATGCAGAAGACAGAAATGGAGTCGTTTCACCAGGTACTCTGTAATTTCCCTTTGCCTATTATGTGTATGTATGTCCAACACTTTTTTTTTTTTTTAAATGGTGACTTAACTGAAAGTCATTTTGAGGATGAGAGGGTAGGTTATTCTCTTACGATACCATGTTCTCTGTGTGGTACATGGATGAGAGATGTAATGATTTGCTTAGTAAGGGGTAGTCAGTGCAAACTGCTTAACCTGCCAAATCCTTGTCATGACAAACCTGACAGATCTTTATTATTGTGAGACTATTGCAAGACTAGATGAAGTCTGATAATTTTAATTGGGAACTGATTCAATAATGTTGTAAGTGGAGAGTTCTTAAATGAAAGTATGAGACTGTTCCAGTTAGCCCAAATGGAATAACATGAATCAAAACACTTTTTTCTTCTAAAACACAGAACACTTGTGTGGATGATATTTTACTTGAAGTAAGAGACCAGCTTGCTCAATCAAAAGTGATAGAAAGCGACTTGGCAAAGCCTCTGTTGGATTCACTGCTTCGTGTCGCGTTGGGCACATATTCTGCTGATTTGGATCACTCTGAAGAAAAACTTGAAAAGGTGTGGAATGGACTGAGTAGTTTAATGTAAATGTTGTGTGTATATAAGGGTTTGCCAGGTCTCTTCATTTTCAGGTGTGTGCTCTTTAGTTAAGAGCATGTGCTTAAATTGGGGTTTTAGTGGTGGTGAAGACTTGTTCTGTAGTGCTCATGAAAAGCACTTAAGTTGAATAAGCTCCTGACATTTGCTCCTCAGGAAAGCACAATGCATGCTTTCCCCCTGCCCAAGAGGGGTGGCAAGCTGTGCTGTTATTTATGGATACACCTGAAACATGAAGATCTGTTCACCCTCCCACCCCAGACGAACTGAAACTTTTGAACTGAGAGTTTCAAAGCAGGAGGGTTGACTGAGTGATGGCTACACCAATTTTTGCTGTTACAGTGCTGTTAAGGTGCTTTGCTTATGGTGATAGCGATTTCTAGACATATAACTTTCCTTAAAAGTATTGGCCAGTTGTTCTACTGAACTTAGGCCAGGTAGTTAGAAAAATTACATCTTTGTAGAATTCCTTTTTCTGTTTAGGAATAGAGTATCCATAAGATATCCTTTAAAAATTACTTTGCACTTGCTTGAAAGTATATGGTCAGATTGTGAGTTTGTTTTTCCAGTGGGGCAGAGGAAATGAATATCTGGAAGTTCTAAACTCCATGGCTTTGAACAAAGCAGATAAACTTGTTGACACATGTTATACAGCCCCATCACACTGACAAGGAGCCTGTTCCACAACCTGAAGACATTTCAGAAGAAGCTGAGGAGTCACAGTGCTGCAGTCTTAAACTTCTTGCCGAAGAGGAAGGATATGAAGCAGACAGTGAAAGTAACACTGATGATAATGAAACCGAGGGTGACGGTAAGTGTAGACTTGTTAAATACACTAAGCACTCTTTAGGGCATAGCTGACATGCTTGTCTTTTGAGATATGCAAAAATAAGATAGGTATCAGAGGCCTTTCATAGATGCAGATAGCTTATTTTTTTTTTTTACTCATAGTAGGATCTACCTGTACATGAAAAG